CCCCCCCCCCCCGGGCCCCTTCCCGAAATGTTCGGCCCGCCCCCCCCCCCCGGCAGCCTCCCCCCCCCCCCCCTTGGCTGCTGCGGAGACCAAGGGAGATGGAAACAGAGCCCTGTAATATCTCTGCAAGGGAAATGACCCCCCCACCCAGCTGTTTCGGAGCCCAACGTTGCCTCTGAACCCCCCCGCGCCCAGGCTTCCATAGCAACGGCTAAACGAGGCCGGCGTTTCGAAAGCACCGAGGTGGCCGCGTCAAGGCCCCGCCTGCGTCTGGGGGCTGCCCTACATCTGGAAATGCCCTCCTCTGCAGAGGTGGCCTACAAGGGGCTCCCCTCCCGGAGAAGGAAGTTGCGGCCTTCTCCCCCTTCCCCTGGAGAGCACCCGTTTCTCACTGAGCTCCTACTCGCTGCTGCGTGTACACCCCCCCCAAATGAGATGGGGAGGGCCACCTCTGCTCCACGCCCTCCGAGCCCTGGGAAAACATCCCCCGCCCCTCCTTCCCACCATATAATCGGCACAGCCTCCTGGCTCGGCGCAGGCTGTTGCTTTTCTTCTTTTTCTGTTTGCTCTTACTGGAAGTTACTTGGGCGGCCGCCACGGTGATTCCCCGGAGAGCCGGGCGATCGTAAACACCTTCCAGAAGCTGCCGCGGAGAACCGGCTCTCCCTCGCTGCCTGGGAGCAGGGCCCCGCTCCCCGCCCTCCATCTTGCGCTTGCTCTTTTCATGACTGGCGGCGAGGGGGAGAGGAAAACACGGGCCTGGCCATGTTGGGTTTTAAGGTGGACGTCGCTGGCGGCGGAGCCCAGGGATACATCCTGCTGCCGGGGAGGCGCTGGAGGCGCCTGCTCCGAGACAGGTGGGAGGGGACCCCAGACTGCTGCAAACGGGACTCTGGTCCCTCCCCGGACAGTGCGTGGGGCTCTGCTCCGGCCCTTGCACCTGCAGCCCCCCCCCCGGTGGGGTCTGCGGCACGGCCTCCTTTACCACGTGGACAATCTGGGCCGAGCGTGCATGGACGTGCCGTGGCAGTTTTTAAAAATCCAAACATGGGGGAAAGGAAATGCAGCAGTTGAAGTGAGAAGGCCCAGCCATGTCGGAAGCAAGAGAGTAGATAGGCATTGGTGCGAGGCGAAGG